TATAAATACATATATTCTATGGTATTTTACGTTTGGTAAACGAAATGCTGAAATGTTTAATATATATTTCTCTGCTATAATTGTTTGGTTCAATAACAATAGACTGATAAAAAGTGATTGAAAACAATGCTCGTGATTCAACTTTGTTGTTGTTAAATTGTGAAATCAATCTGTTTTCTATGGCCAGCTAAATGTGTAAATATTTGCAAAGAACTAGAAAAAAATGTAGATTTTGCTGATGATGTTTACTTTATGTTTTATTACTTAAAGAAAAAAAAAAAAAAAAAAAAAAAAAAAAAAAAAAAAAAAAAAAAACATTAAATGATATTATTACTAAATTCTAAACATTCCAACTTTTATAACTGAATCTTGTTGACAGCTCTATAAACTATGATATATTTTGTATGCGTTAAAAATATGATTATCGAATTTCTAAAGCAAAAACCAAGATTTTAAAATTACAAAATGTTAAACAGTTTGCCTGACAAGAGTGGAATACTAGAATAACTGTAATTTTGAAGAAACATATAATCTAGCTAATATCACGCTAAGTGAGCAGCACTTGCTACAACATAATATCCAAAGTATTTTTTCCGTAGAAAATTTATTAGATAATTTATTTTGACATGGCATAGCGCACCTTTGATGCTGCTTTGATTTAGTGTGGTCCGCCGACATTCGAGTAGATCTGTTTTACTGATCTGATGTCTCTGTCTTTCTGTCTGCCCGCGATTTTTTTTGCAGGCGCTAGCTGGCCTAGTCGAAATACCTGCCATTGCGGTGGCCATGTACATTATCACCAAGGTGGGCAAAAAATGGCTCTTTTGTGCCACCCTGTTCTGTGCCGGCGTCGCTTGTTGCTGTGCTGCGATCACTGAGGGACGCGAGGACATGCTCTGGCTGAAGATCACATTCCTGATGATGGGCAAGTTTACGATCAGCGCTGGCAATACCATCATGCCGGTTTACACCGCTGAACTGTATCCCACGCCCATACGCAATGTGGGAGTGGGCGCTTGCAACATTGCTGCTGGATTGGCGCTCATATTAACGCCCTACTTATCGCTACTGGTATGAAATAAAATTGGACACTAAATGACCAACATATATTAAATTTGTATTCTCTTTTGCACAGAACAAAATCGAAGGCCACCTGCTAATGACGCTGCTCACCGCTTGGAGCATTTTTGGCGGCTTTGTGGTGCTCTTTCTGCCGGAGACAGCGGTGCGAAAAAATGCACCGTCCGCAACAAATCGCCAGAATGCAGCTAAGCAGGTGTAATAAATTATAGAGACGTTGCTCTAATACGTCACACCGTACTCCCAATACTCCTGTCACCTAAGAAATATTTTGGCTGGTCCAAAGTATGTAAATGAGCACACAGGCTACCAGAGAACTACTTAATATCAAGCAGTACCCACTTGAATCGCTGCCCAGCCCCGATTTGACATATCCACCGCCTCAGCCACCGCCACCTTCTACTAACCAAGAACTCAAGTAAATAAAATAGCGCAATTAATCGAATGTCCACGGAATGCCATAAGTCTAAAAGTCAGGCAGGACCTTATTTGCGTAGCAAGTAGTGAGTATTTAAAATTGAAATAATATATTAAAACAAAAATGTTATTCGTAATGTAATAATGGCTTTTAGCTTATAATAGTCTAAGAGTAAATAAATAAATCTTGTTAACGATGTCACAATTCGGAGTAGGTCAATCTCTTCGGTATCATCGAAGATGTACAAATTTCACATAAATATAATACAACAGGAACTTTAATGAATAAATTATTGCAATAATTATTTTCCTGATTTATAAATTCTTAAATTTAATTTTTTTTTTTTTTAATTTTTAGGACCTTTTATTTAATAAAAAATTGTATTTAAGATTTTGTCTATTTCCGCTCTCTCTATTCAAGTTTTTAAGGATCTTATAAAAATAGTTTAACAAAAATGTATTTAAATTCTTTGACTCGTATCCTGTTCATATTTTGGTGAGATTATCGTCGGGTGTCCGAATAACTAAAAAAGAATATATTTGAAAAGTATTGCTCAATTATTTACTCTATCAGCAACGGAATCAACAGCCACAATATATTTAAGTCAAAAAATTCTTGTCAATATGTCTTGTCAATATGTCAACGTATACATAATCTCGTTGTTGTTGCCGTCTTCGATGTGCTCGCCTATTACCAAATTAATATACATATATAGAACATGCAAAACAAATTAAAGTAATTAATTAATTGAAGTGAGAAGTGTTATCTCTGGTAAATGTAGTCAATTATTCGCTTACTAAATATCGGTCAATTATGCATATTACATAAATATTAATTATGTATACATATTTATAAATATATTTAGACGTATATGTATTTGTATATAGACACGTACATGCATATGGAGAGCAGGTAATGCTGCTTGTTGATTGTTCGCACACCTCATATTGCAAATTTCTTTCTAACGGAATATCATCAACAATAATTTACAAATTTCCCACAATAATGCATTTAAATTTATGAATGTATGTAGTTGAATATAATATAATAAATTAATCGCGTAAGCAATTGGCTAGAAATATTAAGAATTATAAATTTGTTGCTATATGAAACCGTCAAAATGCTTGTTGTACTTACAAAAGATATTATAATATTATTGTTCTTATCTGTAGGCTTTTTTGTTTGCTTATGAATTATTTTGAATTGTACTTACGAGCTAAGTAGAACCTTATATTATGCTTATTTATAGCATATTCTGCTTATCTA